AAGCCCTAAGCCTTAAAGCCTAAGCCCTAAGCCCTAAGCCCTTAGCCCTAACCCCTGAAACCTAAACCCTAACCCCTGAGCCCTAAACCCTAAGCCCTAAACCCTAAACCCTAAGCCCTAAACCCTAAACCCTAAACCCTAAACCTCTAAAACCTAAACCCTAAACCCTAAACCCTCCCTCAGGTTCCGCCATATCATGACACGGAAGTTCCTGGGTGAAGATGACGACGCTTCTTTTGCCGCGGCCTCGGGGTTCCGGGTTATTAGGGATTGGGGCTATTAGGGTTTAGGGTTTAGGGTTCAGGGTTATTCGGGTGTAGGGTTTAGGTTTTAGGGTTATTAGGGCTTAATGTTTAGGGTTTAAGGTTTAGGGTTATTAGGGTTATTAGATGTTATTAGGGTTTCGGGTTCCGGGTTTAGTGTTGGGATAGAGTACCTGCAGCCTTTTCCGTATGAAGACAGAAGGCTCCAGAAGTCAAGGGTGCAGACCTTAATAGGATAGGTAAGTTGAGCCGCAGGTAGAGGCTAGTTTCAGGTTGTGCCGTCGGCGGCTTCGGGATTTCACATGGGAGTTTCCGAGAATAAGGGGTACCTTATTATTCTGGGGTCCTTATCGTAAGGATCCTACTATTTGGGGTACTATATCCGGGTCCCCTATTTTCGGAAACCCCCCATATAGGGGCCTTGGAAATTACTTATTTTTCTTGCTGAACCACTCGGCGAGCGGGTCCAAAATATCCGGCGATCTACTGAAAGAACTCAGGCAGCATCGACCGAGCTGTGCGAGAGACAGGGCGATTAGAGGAGCCATTTTGGCTCAAGGGCTTCGGATCGAACCTCGCGAAGGAGCGAGGTATTGCCACTACCCATAGGCCCTAAAGCAGTTCCTTTTTGGGATTCCCTAATTGGATTCTAAATATGAAACCCTAAAAGGAACTACTTTAGGGCCTATGGGTAGCCCCAGTGCCTGTAGGCACGACACGGCCATCGTCGCCTCGCCGACCTGGCATCGGAACCTCCGTCGGAACCGGACAGAAGACCGAGGTGGCATTTTGGACGGCCAGAAAGGCCTAGGAATTTCTGTCAAGGCCCTTCTGCGACTGCAGGCGCATCATTCAGCTCCTTCCTTTCTGGATCTCCGGATGGGCAGGAAGCAAAATTGGAGCGGTGGCTGGGACGACTGCAAGCAACAAGGAGGAGAATCTGCGGCACGGCCATGGCATCCCTAAGCCCTAAACCCTAAACCCTAAACCCTACATCTCTGACAGGGCTCGTGGTCTGCCTCACCCAAGGCTCTGCCACTTGTCGCAGGGTCGGCCCGCGCTTTTACTTCGCTTCACTTCTTGAAATCCTTTGCTAGTGGTACGCTCGCTTCGGACTTTGCACCAACGGAATAGAACATACTATTTTTTGAGGTTCCTTCTTGTACTTATATAGTACAACATACCCCAAAACCCTGTTCTAGTTATTAAGGCCCCTACATGAAACCTTTATAGTACCCTGTATAGTAGCTCTTTAAGGGAACCCCTTAAAGCAACCCTATTCCAATTACTCAGGCCCCTACATTAGGGGCGAGGTTTGGGATTGAAGCCCTACCCTTTGGACCGTGTAGGCTCTGGAAAGTAAACCCACCAAAAGTTCGAAACCGGATGCGATTCAAGGTTGGGGGTTTAGGGTTTGGGGTTTAGGGTTCAGGGTTTGGAGTTTAGGGTTTAAGGTTTGGGGTTAAGGGCTTAGGGATTCAAGACAAAGAGGGGATTCCCTAGACATTAGTCTTGAAGATTGAGGCTATTGGGTTTCCAACTTGTAGGATTTTAGGCTTCTATTTAATATATTATACGGTTGACATCTCCTAAACTTTAAACCCTAAACCCTAAACCGGAAGCAGGGATTCGATGAGGGGTTCTACTCAGTAAGGAGGGGTCGGAAAGATTAGTGGTGAAACCTTACTTCAACGCTACAGAAACGTGTGCCGTAAGCCTTAAAATCGTATCCCCCATATAAAGTCTAAATCACAAGACCGTTAAGCCTCCACCCTCAACCCTGAAACCCTCAAGCCATACTTCCTTTCAGCAGGTCCATGCCTTCGAGATGTTGGATGTCAACAAGGACCTCTTGTAAAGAGCCGGTTCTCACGTCGGCGTTCGTAGCCTTGTTGATTTACGCGTTAGGGCAAGCCCTGAACCCTAAGCCCTGAAGTAAGGGCTTAGGTTGTTCTTATAGGGCGTGAGCCTATAAGGTTTAGGGTGAAAAGTGGATGCTTTTCGGTTTTCAGGCTTTTCAGTTTGGGTCTAGGCCCGTCTTGGCTTGTCGGAATATGGTGTAGAATAGGCCTTTCGGTTTCGGAGTGTGTTCAAAACACCCTAAACCCTAAACCCTAAACCCTAATTCAACCTTAAACCCTAAACCCCAAACCCTGGACCCTGAACCCTAAACCCAAAGCCCTAAACCCAAAACCAGCCTACCCAAAAAAGCGCCGGGGCAGAAGGAATTCTAGGCCAAAGCAAGGCTGCCGGCTCCGGGGTCAATCCCAAAGACTCCAATATCCCTTAATTAAGGGTTTAGGGTTTAGGGTTTAGGGTTTAGGGTTTAGGGTTTAGGGTTTAGGGTTACCTTAAATCATATTAGGGATCCTACTATAATTTAATGTATATTCCCTAATTAAGGGATATTGGAGTCTCTGGGATATTGGAACCGCGCCGACGTGGGCCTATCTCTGGTGAGTCGCATGCACTGAACCTATAGTCTCCACTGTCGTTCCTTTTTGAGGATACCTTATAAAAGGTTTAGGGTTTAGGGTTTAGGGTTTAGGGTTTAGGGTTTAGGGTTAATCCTTTATATATATATATATATATATATATATGCTACCCCCCCCTTAAAGCCTCGCGCTTTACATTTCTTGAAGACTCTTCCGGCTTTTATGCAAGGAGAGGGAACTGGGAAGAGATCAGCAGAGAACAATCCCAGAGGAGGTAAGTCTGCCCGACGTAAGGAGCGTCGTGAGCAGAGGTTTCTAGAAGAAGCACTTGGAGAAGGCCGTGCCGTTTATTTCCCTCACCCGCCACAGGCTGAAGCATCTTTGCAGGACGTGTCGATTACTTCAGTCGCTGGCGACCGTGGAGCGGAGAGCGCGCCGGTCGTAGAGGTATCATCGGACGAAGAGCAGCCGAAGCAAACCCCGATTGACACTGGGATTCATCTGACCGCTATTGCCGATCTAGATCAGTTACCTCAAGAGACCTTCGAGATTCATCCGTTGCGACATATCTTGCCTATATATTTGGTTAAACCAAAAAAAGGAACTACAATGGGGACTGTAGGAAGGTCTCGGGATTAGGGTTTAGGGCTGAAGGCCTCATCGGGTCCGCATCTGCTCGTGGTGGCCAAAAGGGTGCAGACTGTCAAGGAAAGCCACAAACCCAATAAACCCAAAGCCCTAAGACCCGAAAGCCCTACATAAACCCTAAACTTTTAAACCCAGAAGGACTCAGCCGAGGATCTTGTGGAATGCAGAGAGGGAATACCCCAAACCGCAATGTAAAAGGATTTAAAACTCCGCAAAACCATGCGGTTTAGGATGGTTTAGGGCTTAGGGCTGAAGTCCTAATTCCTGAGTTACAAGTAGACCAAAAACCGCTCACACCCTGAACCCTAAGCCCTGTAAACGTAGGCTGCAGAAACCACTTAACCCCAAAGTTCGAAGCCATAAACGAAAGAAATTTGCCCCGGGGGCCCTCAACCTAGCCTCTACGAGTCGCTTGCTGCCCTAAAGCCCCGAACCGCAAACCCTAAACGAAGCCCCCCCAACCCTAAACCCTAAACCCCAAACCCTAGGACCCAAACCCTAAACCCTGATATTGACCTTTCTGCCGTTCGGCAGTAAAGATGGACCCCAAACCCACGACGGTACCCTCACGGGGGTCTGGGCCCCCAGGCTGGCAAGGCCGAGCCACTTGGGTTCTGGGCACTAGGCTCCAGCCCACCCTCCCTGCCTGTCCTGCCTTCGAGCAACCCTCACTGGGTGCGAAAGGCGAATTGTTTGTTGGGAACCCGTGCTTCTCGTCGAGCGGCCGGCACAGGCCGCGAGGACCCACAACCCGACAGCTGTGTTTGACAGCAGGAAAGACCCCCTTGAGAGGGGTTTGGGGGGTGAACCCTAAACCCTAATTGAGAATAGTAGGGGTGGTTGGGGCGGACTACATGCTGACGCAAGCACGCGATTAGTGGGTGCGCCCCTATTCCTAAAGCAAAAGGCGCACCCACTGCGCGCACACTGTCTACACACCCTAAACCCTAAACCCTAAACCCCTAAACCCTAAACCCTAAGCCGATTCTCCGAGAAAGACTTAGGGTTTCGGGTCTCTGACAAAATGGTTCTACAGGGGACGATAGAGAGATCTACTGTTGCTCAATATGGGTGGTTGTCAAAATTATGGTCCCTTTTTGGGTTTTTTTTACTACGGCACCTATTATTTAGGGTACCCGAGAAGGGACCTTAATTTTGACAACCACCCAATTCCGAGCCCTATAAGCTTATAAACCCTGAGCCTAGGTTAGGGTTTAGGGTTTAGCTCTAAGCCCTACACCAAACACTCAAATGAACCATGTTCTCCGAGGGGCATGCAAGTAGAGTGCTCTACTTTCCCGTCTTCGCTTCGGCGCATGTAATACCCAGGGACGCACTTGTCCAGAACGCTCTTACTGGATTCAGGTCCACTCGCTAGTACCTGTGTCAGGGTTGAGATTTACTTGGAGGGTCGGGGGGCTTAGTAAGTGGGTCGTAAGTAGACTTGTAAGTACTCTAATAGGGATCCTAATTGGTATTATGATACTTATAACTCTACAAAATAACTACTTACTAAGTCCCCTGACCCTCCAAGTAAGCTTTATCACAGTCTGGTGCCCCAGTACATGGACCACTGGACTTAAGTAAACCTCCGAGGGAGAGCAAGAAACCAAGAGGGAACGAGAAAGGCATGGAGGGACAAACGACAGCCGGCCTCAAATGCTAACCCCATTGACCCTTTTTGCAGAGAGTTTCTAGATTGACCAGAATATTTTTGTAGTCTTGTGATTCAATACGCCTGCTTTCACCCCCTAACCCCTATTCTAAGGATAGTCGGAACTGAACCCGTGCTCTTGCCAGATGGCACCACCGTACCATCCCATGAGATTCCGGGCAGCGTAAACCCCCTCGCAAAGAACCCCAAACCGCACTGAAAGTCCCGTTGCACGGCCCGCACCCAAACACTCCAACATACCTCCATTCAGGAACTCAGGAACAATAGTCAAATAACTAACTAACTAACTAGCTAACTAACTAACTAACTAACTAACTAACTAAATAAACAAATCAAAAATGTAAATGAACATATTAATATATATGTATATATATATATATGTATATAAATAACCTATCTGTATATATATATATACACATGCATACACACGCAACACATGTTTTGAGAATATATATACATATATATGTATATATATATAGATTTTATTTATATATATATATATATTACAAAAATATACATATACGTCTACATGTACATATACATATACATACACTATATAGCCTTGCAATCATGTTTACGCTGAGGCTTTCTGCTAACTTAGGGAATACTGCAAGCTCTGGGCACATGGTTGAAGACCACGTCTGCCACCACACGCAGCCCTTTGCGATGTAGAGCTGCCACCATACGGCGGTGCTCTTCGACGCGTGTGAGGCCGTCTGACAGGGGCGGGCTTACTGAAACAAAGGGCTGTAGTAAGCACTGCTGCACATAATGATGGCATCTACGTGTTAATGAAGGCCTATAACCCCAACAAGGTTTTAGTCAATCACTTAAACCCTTACCTATGACTAGGCGCTAACTAGTAATGCACCTCTACACTTGATTCTAAATGAACCTCGGGAAGCCAGTAGAACCCCACGACTTGTCGGACCATGGTTATATGATAGACCCAAAATAGCAGGGCCCTTATCATACCACATGGACCGGAAATAATGGGATCCTTATTATACTCAAGACCCTAAACAGAAGGATTCTTCTACGACACATAGATCCTGTAATATAGGCGCCTGAATAATTAGNNGAGCCCCCCCCCCCCCCAAATAGTATAGGTAAGTATTTAAGGCCCCCTATATTAGATCCTATAACTTGAAGGATGCCTGTGCTCGTGGCACTAGAATGGGGTTTGGGGGGTGCCTTGTTATAATATACCCCCCCCAAAGCCTAGTCTAATTATTCAGGCCCCTAAACCCCAAACCCTTATAGTAGCCCTTAAAGGAACCCCCCCCCAAACCCGAGTCTAATTACTAAGGCCCCTTTTTTTTAAGTTCTGGGATGCCTGGGTTCGTGGCATAGGAGCCCTCAGGTACGCCGTAGAGCACCGGGTCGTAGCCCCAGTTGAAGGAGTCACGGTCCGCGACGCTCGTGACCTGGGTTTGGGCCGAACTTTGTAGGGTTTAGGGTTTGGGGGTTTAGGGTTTAGGGACCTAGTCATCATGTATGGGTAGCTCTCTAAATTAGGGTTCCTTTTAGGGTCCTTTTTATAAGGGTGCCGTACTATATTGGGGACCTACATGGGGACCCTAATTTAGAGAACTGCCCACCTGGGTTTTCGGTCGAATGTGCAGTCTGGACCCCTATTACCTGGTTTTGGGCCGACTTCGCCGTCTGGATCCTTATGAAACCAGAAATCAAAATACTAAAATCCTACCTGTAGTTGATGGAATCCTAAATTAAGTCTTGTATACATAGCTTTAAAACGTACCCAGAATGCGAAACCAAAACTAAGTCGCACTGAAACCCGAGGCACTATAAGCGTACACTCCAAATTCCCCCTGTCGTATTTCATGCTAAACACTGATGCCCAAAACCCCTGTCGTCCCTAAACCCTAAACCCTAAACCCTAAACCCTAAGCCCCTATAAACCCTAAATCCTTAACCCCTACAGACCCTAAACCCCTATAACCCCCCCCTAAACCCTAAACCCTCATAAAATCTAAAACTAAACCCTAAACCCCTATAAACCCTAAACCCCATATAGACCCTAAGCCCTAAACCCTCAAGCCCTATAAACCCTAAACCCTAAACCCC